TTTTAAGTGGGATGATGTAATTACCATGAATGATCATGTTTGTGCAAAAGCATTGAAAAGGAACAAAATGTATTACATGGTGGATAGGGCAGAGTGTGCAGTAGTCAACAATATGCCTTTGCATTTGGACTGTGCACATTACTACCATCAGGTATTGGGTCATTTAAGCTTCACCAGTCTTGGGTAGCTAGGGGAGTTATGTCCAGAATTTAGTATGTCTTCTTGCTCAAATCACTTAGATTGCTCAGTTTGCAGCAGGATAAAGTTGATGGCTTTTCCTGTGGCCAGACACAGCAAATGCACCACACAAAGACCTTTTCAGATTATTCATGCAGATTTGACCGGTCCTTTGGGGAAAAGTCTGGAAAATAATCAATATTTTATGGTAATTGTGGACCATTTTATCAGGTACTCATATGTAATGCTCCTGAAAGAAAAGAGTGAAGCAGCACAACTTTTCAAGGATTGGGTTTACATCGTTCAGAGGGAGTTTGAATACAAAGTGGGAACTTTGGTCACAGATAGGGGTGGAGAATTCTTGCCAAACAATTTGAAAAATTGGTTGAGAAAGAAGGAATACATCACAACACCACAAACCCTGCAGTTCCACAATAGGATGGGTTGGCAGAAAGATGTATAGGTGTAAAGCAGATGAAAGACTGCATGATGTTAGATGTGGAAGCACCTCAGCAGCTTTGGGGAGAAGCCATTGTGAAAGCAAATCACATTGCTAATCGTGTGTGGAATTCTGCTGTAAAGAAGACCCCATTTCATATGCTTTATGGTAGACCGCCTAACTTGAAGTATTTGAGAGTGTTTGGGCAGTATGCAAATGTGTATGTACCTGCTAGTTTCAGAAAAAAGGGTGATCCTAAATGGTGCAGGTTAATGTTTGTAGGGTATTCTGGGAATAGCTACAGATTTCATCTTGGTCATGGGGAGATCTTGCTATCCAGAAGTGCCAACTTTGAAAAAGATTCAGGTTGGGAAAGGCTGCATTCCAACAAAGAAGTTTTTCTCAGATTGGGACAAAAGGAAATAAGTGCTGCAAATGGAGGGGAGATAAAACAAGAAGCATCACCAGAGAGTGTCATACTGAAGAGGGAACAAGCTTGTTTTCTGCTGCTCCAGAGACTAGGGCCCAGAACAATGGATGCAAGTTCCAGGAAAAGAGATTTCACCTCAACATTAGGAGAAACTTCCTGACAGTAAGGGCTGTTCAACAGTGGAACACACTCCCTTGGAGTGTAGTGGAGTCTACCTCCTTGAAGTTGTTTAAGCAGAGGCTGGATAGCCATCTGTCGGGGATGTTTTGATTGGGAGTTCCTACATGGCAGGGGGTTGGACTGAATGGCCTTTGTGGTCTCTTCCAACTCTATGATCCTATGATTCTATGATTCTATTTTAGCACACAGACACAACCAACACTTCATCCACCAATCACAGCTAGCAAATTTGAGCCAGTGCAAATGAGAGATGCACAGATTCAAACTAGTTCTGAGAATGAGGATGAAAGAGGTAGAACAAAGTTGATCATACCCAGGAGGACTCAGAGAGTGAGAAGACCTCCAGAACGTTTTGTAGTGTAGAGTGCAAGGGCCTGTATGGTGGTGGCTGATGAGCCTGAGAGTTTTAAGGATCTGCAGAGTTATCCTGAAGAGGAGAAGGAAGAGTGATTTTCTGCTATGGATCAAGAGTACTTGTAATTGCTAGAAAAGGAAGTTTTTGAAGTTGTTGAGAGGCCTAAAAACCACAAGGTGATAGGTTGTAGATGGGTTTTCAAAAGAAAGGAAATGCCAGATGGTACTCATAGATACAAGGCCAGATTGGTGGCAAAAGGTTTTGCACAGCAAAAGTTTGAGAACTTTGATAAAACATTTTCGGCTACAGCTAATCCAGAAAGCCTTAGGCTGGTTTTGGCATTAATAGTGAGGAAAGGCCAAGTGGTAAGGCATTTTGATTTTGAAACTGCCTACTTGAATGCTAGTCTTGATTAAAAAGTGTTCATGGAACAACCTTTAGGATTTGAACAGGACAGTGATAGGAAAATGTACAAGTTGAAAAAGGAATTGTTTAGATTGAAACAAAGTGCACGTAGTTGGAATCATTGCATTCATGAGGAAT